GGGAGGGGAGGGAATACAGCACCAGCATGGATGGCCCTAACGACCTAATCCTCTCAGTGAGCCCCCATGTATTTGTTCCACCACTCAGTAGTCCATTAAAGATGACTCCATTAAAGGCTAAAACCATTGCTTATAATTCCATCACCTTCCAAAGACCCTATACCCCTGCATACCGCTGCACGGGGTTGGGGGGAGGTGGAATCTCCAGCACCTGAGTTTTGGGGGGATGTTTAAGACCTGAGCCATCAGAATCTGAGTCTCAGCATGGTGACACCAGGCAATTGGTGCTTGCCTAATGACCTCATGGTGCTCAGGGATCCAGGGGGATCCAGTGGTTTATTCTGATGTGGTTCAGGTTTCTCAGGAGATGAAGTCAATGCAGGCTGTTCAAGACAGTGCAATCCATACATGTCTCAGTGATTGACTGAGGAAACTTCTGGGACCAGAGTGCCTGAGGGTGCCCTCACATTACCCTTGCCAAAGACGTGAGCTTGGACTGTTAGCATCTCAGTCAGATTTTTTTTTTGTTAATTAAAAAAATTCCTCCTCCTCCTCTTCTTCTTCTTCTTATAATAATAATAATAATAATAATAATAATAATAATAATAATAATAATAATAAAATTTTTTTGTGTGTGATATATGTGCATGTGTGGTGTGTGTATATAAGTGTGGCCAGGTGTGTATGGAGGTCAGAGGATAACTTTTGGGACAACTCAGATTGTCAGGTTTGAGGCAAAAATCTTATATGTCCTGGGTCACCTGAAGCGCCCTTCCTTTTGGGGGTTAATTTTTAAAGTTATCTTATAAACCAGCGGGTTTCATTATGGCTTTTCATACCTATATGTCATTACACTTTGCTCCCATTCTCCCTTTTCCTCACTGCCTTCCACTGTCCTCTCCCACCTGCCGGTCCCCTCCTCCTTCCCCACCCCAAATTGTTTTAGAGAGGGTACTACAGGCTGCTAAGAATAATACACATTCATATCTGTTGAATGTAATATGCTATAGTTATTTTTGAAGTCTGGTTGACTGATGGGGTACTTAGAATCTGAAGTTTACTTGTTGATTTTACTTGCATGGCCAATTTTAAGATAAAAATGGGGATGCTGATAAACTGTAATTGTATTAGGGATTATGTGACCTGTATCTAGAGTTTTCCTGCCTGGTCCATGGTCAGGACAAATCCCTCTCACCTGCCAGTCCCACAGCTGCTCAGACCCAACCAAATAAACACACAGAGACTTATATTGTTTACACACTGTATGGCCATGGCAGGCTTCTTGCTAACTGTTCTTATATCTTAAATTAACCCATTTCTACTAATCTATAAGTTGCTATGTGGCTCATGGCTTACCGGTATCTTAACATCTTCTCATGGCGGCAGCTGGCAGCCTCTCCTCTGCCCCAGCCTTCCTGTTCCCAGCATTCTCCTCTCTGCTAGTCCCACCTATACTTCCTGCCTGGCTACTGGCCAATCAGTGTTTTATTTATCAGTTAGTCATCCACAGCAGTGACCTTTTGTACCCACTAGTGATTTGGAAACACAATGATGAAACTAGGCACTCTAACATTTGTTGGCTATATATTTGAAATTATTATATATTCCTGATAATTTTTCTTTATTAATAGTAGTCTCATTTATTTCTTTTGGCTCACTGTAGTATGAAGTCTACTATTGTAGTTATAATAGCTACAACAAGTTGTCTTCATGTCCAATTTGCTTGATAGATTGAATTCTGTTCTTTTGTTTGTTGTATTTCTTGATTGGTTGGATTATTATTATTCTATACTCTCTTGTGCCCCAGATATCATTAGAGGAATTACCGGTTTACTGTTTTGGACATTGTCCTAGTTTTAGGTCAACTTGACACATTCTAGAGTCAGTAGAGAGGAGGGAGCCTCAGTTGAGGAGATGCCTCCCTAAGATGCAGCAGCAAGCAAGGATTTTCTTAGTTATTGGTGTGGGAGGGCCCAGCCCATTGTGGCTCTGGTTTTATAAAAAAGCAGGCTGAGCAAGCCATAGGCAGCAAGCCAGTATGCAGCAGCACCCTTCCATGGCCTCTGCACCAGCTCCTGCCCTTCTTGAGGTATATCCCTCACTGCTTTTAATGATGAATGGTTACATGGAACTATGAGTGAAATAAACCCATTCCTTCCCAAGTTGCTTTTGGTCATGGTGTTTCATCACAACAGTGATAACCTAAGATAAACATCATGAATTTTCTCGTAGTTCTTTCTTGTTCATCAATTTTTTTTTCATAAAATATACTATTTCCTGTGCTCTTCCACTGGGAACTCTGTGTATAGTATTCCCTTAAGTGTTTTTCTGGAGTCCTGGCTTGGTTATCACTACTTTCCTTAGCTTTCACTTTAACTCAAATACCCCATTTCTCCATCAATTTTAAGATAACTTTACCAGATTTAGTAGACACAGTTGTAGCTGTTTGCTTTCATAAGATGAAGTACATTGTTCTATCTTTTGAGGCTTTTAGAGTTTCTGGTGAGGGATCTGATGCTATTCTCACCTGTTTGCCTTTGTAGATGAGTAGATGTATAAATCCTTTACAGATTTGATATTGTTTGTTTTATATTTTTGATACCTTGATCACAGTACTCTGTGGAGAGTCTTCTTCATTCAGACTTTGCAATTAGGTAAAACTTCCCACTATGTATTGTGTAAGTCCTGAGACTCAGACTAATTTTTTTTCTGAGTTAACGAGATTTTGAAGCAGCTTTAGCTCTTTTGAGCACAGCAGGAACCTTTCATCAAATGTAGCTGTGGGAACCCTTTCCCTGGACCACATTGCTACTGAAAATGTCATCAATCAATCAACAAATATTTCTCAGGACAGCAAGTTGAGAATTAGATGAGGTCATGGATGTGGCAACTTAGAAGGCAGCATGGTACAGAGGAAGGACATGGGCTTTGGGGACATTCATAAATATGTTTGAAATCCAGTACTATGTCTTAAGAGCTGTATAAGCTTGGCAGAATCCTTTAAGTTCACTTTAAGTTCTCTGCTGTTCGGTCTGCAAACTAGGATAAGTAGCTACCTCTTCATGGGGGAAAGCCCCAATTTTCTGTCTCTTTGTCAATATGTAAAAAATTAAGATAAGCTGGGCATGGTGGCACTTGCCTTTGATCCCATCCCAAGAAGACAGAGGCAGGCAAAATTCTCTGTGTTCAAGGCCAGCCTGGTTTGGACAGTGAGTGTCAGGCCCTGTTAAGGCTCCGTAGTAAGAACCTGTTTTTTTTCTTTTTTCCATTATTAATGTATTTATTAAAATACAGTGAACTAAAATGGGATGAATCTTCGCCAAGTGCCAGCTAATAATTTTTAAGCCCCCGATATGTCACTTGGCGGTGAGAGAGTGAGCAGAAGCATGGCTCTCTCCCTCCCTCCTTGAAAAGAGGTAAGACAAACTGACAAATGAGGTAAAATAAAGGTATAGAAGTTGGCTGGGGGTTTCCTGGCTTAGCAACTACTTCATTGGAGTGATGAGGATGGCATGCATTGGGTAGAAGAGAACAAGCCATATTCGGAGAGAAGAATTTTAGGTTGTGAAATTGTAGAAAGAAGGGATGTGGATTTCATATAAGGCAGGATAAAGACTACGGTGGTGGCCTGACCAGACAAGAAGTGAAGGGAAGCAATACAGGATGCAGGAAGAAAGTTATTTGAAACCAAGTTAACGAATTGACTTATTTTGCTACCTAGTAGGGAATGGTTTAAGTGTTTTCAGTAGGAGGGCGATAAGACTGGGAGCTGGAACTGTTAACATTTCTTCTGTATCAAATTCCCATGGAGTTGTTGGCACAGAGCTGATGTTTGTGGATACTCAGTGATGATATATGAAATAATGGATAGATGTTTATGGAGGACTAGTCTGGCCGTGGTGTGTGTAATGTTGGCAGCTAAATGGATGTAGACTCTCACACCAGATTCTAAAGAACTAGCCTTGGTCAATGGAGACAAAGAATGCTGAACGATTAATGAGGCAAATTTGGGCAGTCTGGGCTTGTGGTTGGATTTGGGTGTCTACATTGATTTAGGCTCAATAAAAATAGTTATCTCTTTTCATTGATAGTTTCAACTTGTGCTTTTGAAAATATGAAATGCATGCATGCCTGTAGAAAAATATATAATTTATTCATATTCTTGGCCCTGACACTTGCAAAGTTTTTCTCTTTCATATGTATACAAACAACTATTGAGAATGTGCACTTGAGTGCATATGCATGTACACACACACACACACAATCACACACACAATCACACACACAGAACTCTATACATCACAAAAATACATGCCATAATATATATATATAACAAATGAATTAGTAATAACCTATATGGTAATCTTAATAAACTGTATTTTGGTATAATTTTCATAAAATAAAATATATGACTTAAAGTCTAGTGCTTATTGAGATTTTAAAACTTTT